TGGATCGTTCCAGTTAGCACATTTAAGAGTGAAGACGGTTTGAATAGCTACTCCGGATGATTTGCTTGCCGTGCAAGACCCACCAAAAGGAATGGTGCTGCATTTAAAAAGCCACGCAGAAAAGCCTTTGGAGGAATCATCATTCATATTTTCTACATCAATTGTCAGACGATACTTTCTGCCTGGAATAATTGCATCAGGATTGATAGTGAAAAAATTCGAATTCGCTCTAGTTCCTCTGACTTCTTGCATTTGGTGAAGTTCTGACCATGTCTCACTAGTCTCTTGGAATAATCTCCAGTGATAGCTCAACAGAGCATTTTTTGTGTAACAAGGAGAATTTGTGCAGTTTGCAACAAAGGTAGCTTTGACATTTGGTATGACCTCCAATCCACAATTCATGAGACAACTGCAAAATGAAATACGAAAAAAGTAAGTCTCCTGAAATCCAAGATGTTATGGGCCAATAATTCTCATAATTCGAAAGCGACTGGCCAGATATCAGTTCAAACCTGAGAAGACATGAGAAAGTTTCCCAAATTTTGATAAAATTAATTTCTCAGAATTAATCAAATTTTAAAAGAGACTGAGTTGGTCTGATAGTGCTGATAAACAATCTATTTACGAATGGTTCGGTCTTTACCATAAGTTCTGGCTAGTGTTAAGAGCATAATAAGTTTCCCTTTTACCTTCACGACACTTGCATTTTTCTTTGTGTGTGCAATATCAAAGCAAAAAAATTAAGTTTCAACTGTGGTAGTAGTTATAACTTAATTATGAGCAGAAGTTTTGTTTGATAATTTGTGAAAGGTATTGCTGATATTTAGTTTCAAGAACCTTTTTTTGCCTTTTTTCTGTGTGTGCAACATCAAAGCAAAAAAAATAGGTTTAAACTGTGGTCGTATTTATAACTCGATTATGAACAGAAGTTTTGCTTGATAATTTGTGAAAATTATTTGTTGATATTTAGTTTTAGGAACCCTTTTTGGGTACCCTTGTAGTTTTAAAATTCATACTTTCCTCATCATGCGGTAAAAAAATTAACCTCAATGTCAAATCCATGAACATGTATATGTGGCAAATGTTACCACCCAAGAACGAAATATATCCTAGACACTCAGCTGATCTTGCAATGAAGAGACCCACGATGCTATACGACAGTATCTTTCGTTATGGAAAAAATGATTCTTAGCGTTTTCAGACCATTTAACAAGGGGATTTTAACGTACACTGTACAAACACGATCGATATAGAGAACAATAACTTAAGTACCGCTTACTCTATTTCAGTATTAAGAGGTGTTCCATCGACAATCTCGACTCGTTGCACAAAGGTCCCACTAAGATCCCTCTTCTTGACTGTTAACTTGATATCGTAATATTTGTTTATCTGCATTGAGCTGGTGTCCAAAAAAACTATTCTACCAGTATCTTTCAATTTTTGCTCCTCATTGCCAAAACATCCTCTACTGGCGGCATCTCTCCCGATAACTGTTCGGTTAGAACTATCAAATTCATCATGGAACATTTCTTCTTCTCCCTTACACGACCACTCAAACGTCAAGCCTTTATATAATCCTTTACCAATATCAAAATCACGAGATGGAGACCCATCCAGAGTTATGTTGGAGTTGTGTTCCCTCGACACTTCTGGTCCACCAGCAATGAATGCGACGGGTGCAGAAGAAAGGACTTCTATGAAGCCATAATCAAGAAAATAAAACTTTCGAAAATGAGCAGTGAACTCGACCAAATAAATTCCAACACCGAGGGACGAGATGTCGTCCGAGTCAGTACCCGAGCCAATGGTGATGGAACTCGCTCTTCCGACACTAAATGGCCGAGAGTTCACATTAGAAACTTTCCACTCAAAGCTCAACGAGTGGCAATCGGTGCTCACTTCTGCGTTGAACCGGTATTGGGTCAATTTTGTCAACTTTGTTGTGGTGTTCACATTCTTGTCTATGTTAAGTATTTTCGCATGAGATCTAAAGACGCATGAGGAACCATCTAAAACAACAACAACAAAAAAGAAAGGCAATGCTTAATTAATTACTTCATAGATTTCACCGACCGAAGAAGCATGAAAAAGTACTTAACCTTAATTCAGTACATTCAATGGTCCCAAATGAATTAGCTTAATATAGCAAATAGGGGCTTATCGAACCAAATGTGCCATGAATGGCCAGAATGGAAGGTTAATTTACCAAGAAAACCGTAGCCCCCTACAGCTGCGAAAATATGTCAAAAGGAAGTATCAAAAGCTGCAAATATATCACTAATCAAAACAATATTTTTTACAGATCGAATACTAACTGGGAAATAAGAATAGGTCCGTTTTTATAGCAGTTATCTGGTGGTTTTCGATAGAAAAGCCTATTAGTTAGCCCAACAATACCTATGTCATTAGTTGTATTCAAACAGAGGAAGGATCCTTCGCCATTTATGCAAGCTTCTCCATATGGACAGGGTGTTGGACGGAAACTGCACTCGTCGACATCTTAAAAGAAGTATGATAATACAAAAGGGATCTTAAGTCACACTCTTGAAATTCCTTTCAAATATACTTCTAGACCTGATCCTATCAATGTTGGTTTGAAAGATGGCAAGGAAACATTGGAAATTAAGATGAGACTGTCCAGGAAAAGTTAAGTAGGAATTAGGAATCCTCTCGACAAACGACGAAACAAGAACTGCGAGAACACATGGAAAAGATCGCATAAACAAATGGAGGAGCAAAAGAACGACTAAAGCAAATATAGGACCGAAAGAACCTATTAACAAATGAACGAAAGAAAGAACGAATTCAATAAGGAAACTGAGAAAGAAAGAAAGTTTAGAAAAATCAGTTAAAAAAAAACGAACAACAACAACAAAAAGAAAACAACTGAACAGGTGAACGAGTGAAAGAATAAAACATGAAAGACAAAACAAATAAGCGAGAGGAATAGACCAAAGAATAAAAGAATGTCACAAAGGGATATCAAGAACAAATCGGGAGGATCACAAGGAAGCAAATTTATGTTACTGGCAAGCAATAGAGAGAAATGTCTTCATGTAATCCCTAAGAAAAACAGCATTGTGATCTGGCCAAAGTTACAAACACTCTAACCTAGTCACTGGGTCAGCCAGTCACTATTTTGGTATGTTTGTCTTTTTGTTCACTTCTCTTTCAGTTTAATACACATTGGTATTTCCCAATGCACGTGAATAGCCATAGTCGGATCGTTGATTAGTTTGGTAAATAGTAGTTGTTTACACTGAAGAATAATGGACGTCTTCTTACCTCTCTCCGCTGTGAACAACTCCACTGCCCCAATGGGACCGTCTCCATAATAATTAAACCCCAAAACCTCTATCCTGTATTCGGTGAAAGACTTGAGTCCTTTGAAGTTGGCCTCTAATACTTTCAACCCATAAGTGCGATTTTCCACATTTTTTGAACCTTGCTTTGATAACTCGTATAGAAACAGTTTATATCCCAACATGATTCCATGTTGTTTGTCCTTCACTATTTCCTGCCATTTTGCATATAGGCTGAACATACTTGTGTTGAAGGCAGTGAGAGCCTGGGGAGAGGCGCCGGGAACTAACCGTGAGAGACAAAAAAGAAGGATGTTACGGGGTACCAAGGCTTCCGATTTGTGACTTCTTTTCTTTTGACGACAACTGATTTTTTTATCATTTGATGACGTACAGAATTAAATATTGCCATCTTTTTTTTTCCCTTTGCTAACAGACCGCATAATGCAGGACGCTCGCTACATATGACACTAGCATAGGGTAGTGTTAGGAAATTATGGGTTACAGGTATACTTCAGTAGTTAACTTCTGGTGCAGTTATATTTGAACGGAATACTTCCCCATCTTTCTTTTTAACCTTGTTTGTTACTATATATATATATATAACCGATGGAAACCATCAATCGTGTTGCTGAAATAGCAAATACTAGAGAATTAAGAATACTCCATGAAAGACAAAAGATGTTTAGAATGGTGAATATTTTTTGAAGGTTGCAAATAAATACAGAGAGGTGGCATCTGCAAGGAAACCTTGCGGAAAGCATTGGAAGGATACGAAAGTGCTCGAATTCAATTAATCAAGTGTCCAACTAAGAGCGCTAAAAACTTTGAGTTCACTTGACTGACCTTCACCATAAGTTCGGACCATAAATGACTCGCTTGGGGGACCTGTACTCTTGGCTGTCCGAGCTGCTATAGTGATATTGTATAGACGGTATATTTCCAACTCTTCGGCGATCTTATTTCGCAGAGTTCTGTTACGAGTTTCAAACGTTTTTAAGTTTGCATCTTCCGGGAAAACATCGCTTGCATTGGCCTCCAGAAAATGAAGTGTGAAACCTTGGAGGTGGCCAAGAACCAGTCGAGGGTTATCATCGTAGTTCCAAAGAACTTTAATTTCCCGTGAGCTGACATTGTAAGCTGTCAGATTGACAGGAGAATTTATAGGGGCTGAAAATGAAGAGAGAAGCATAACAAACTAAGGAAAAGAAATAGTTTGTTTACTGAATCGCTTTCGTACCAAAACCACGTCCGGGTTACAAATCCTGGAATAAAATTCGCCGAGCTGAGGCTAAAAGTATTGTTGGACTGTTGAAGCAAACTAGCTCGAGCTGCAAGCGATCTTACTACTAATAGTATAGTAGTATAGTATGGAAAGGCCATGTATTGATAAAGTCTGACGCCGCTATTTCACTTACTTGATTCATCCGTCAACTGATATACTTTGTTACTCCACGGCCCATAACCTTTACTGGTGTAAGTCCGCATCTGTACCGAATAATTCTGGAAGATCGAAAGATTAGAGAAAGGGAAATCATGGACGTCTGGTCCAACGGTCATGTTCCACAATAGCAGACCGCCATCTGCATGGTGAAAGCGAACACGGTAACCCAGAATAATGCCATTTTGGTGAATCAAACGCACATCTTGCCATGAGGCTTTTAAAGAGGTTGCATCCACCGTGTGAAGCTGAACATTGTACGGTGCCTTTGAAGGAGCTGTAGAAATACCAGGAAACAACACAAATTATCCAAGTTTATTACGGGGCTAGATTTGGTTTGACATTGGCGAGACTCGCAAAACTATAACAAAATTCTCATAAGTTCTTACCTAAAAAAATTCTGGAGGTGTGCACTTTTCCTTGGCATCAAGTTGCCTCTCGGAAGATTTCTTAGAATTTAACGTTTGATTGTTAGGATTTTTTACCAAAACGATTCATTCTCTACGATGGAACCTT